TGTTAAAAATAAATGCTGAAATACTCTTCATTAATATAAGCCAGAAGAAGAATCTCTTACTTCATGACCAGTGTCTGCTGCCCTGGAAGCAGCTGCTACATAATAGTGGGGGTCCAGTACAACAATTCATTCTCAAGAAGAAAGCTGGGGAGATTGTCTCTATTTAGAGGACTGAATCAAGAGTGGATTTTTCCAGACTGTCACTGCCGATGAAATGAGGTTTTCAATTACAATGCTTAGCACAGAGCAGCCTGCCCAGGGAAACCTATGTTCCAGTGCTGCCAAACGATATATGCTCAGCATAGCATTTATCAAACCATTTCCTCTGCTAAGAGTTAATGTGTCAGTCTTTAAAATGGCTTGCTCTTCTACTGCCTTTCCTGATGAAAATGTGAAAAGTGCAACTTCCTTTCACAAAACATCTTGTTGAGACTCTTGACTCCAAATTGACTGCCTTGTGTGGAAAAACCTGCTTTCTAGAAACTTAATAAACGGTGAATGTTCTATCATAATTCTGCCTCACTGGAATAAGGAGGTCAAACAGGGACACAGCAATCATTAAATAAAGTGTTAAAATGTGACTGCTGGGTTCAACGGCAGCTTAAAAACGCTAGAAGTCTAAATGCTATTCTAAGCACTCAGGACGCAGCAAATTATTTTGTTTTAGCTGAGATTACACTATCAGGTGATGATGACTGCAATAGACTCTGCTGTGATAAAAGCAAAATCACTACCCTTTCTTTTACAAGAACAAACAGGTAAAGAGCAAGTTTCACATGAAGATTGATCAAGAGCACATGATTAATCCCAGAAATGTACCCAAAGAGCAGCTTTCCGGATTGACTTGCTGTAAATGCCAGCAAGCAAACCCACCCACTGGTACCAATTGCACGTCTCAGCTTCACCTCATCTTAATGAAATCACTAATTATCTTACAGTGATCCTGACGAGCATCACAGGATTTCCATTCTTCATGGGAGCTTAATTCACTGTTTTCTTTCAAACATTTATGTCTGTCTGCACTTGTCTAAGTACATTGTAACCACTAAATCATACAATCCATCATTTCTTTGTCAGTACCCTAGACAGAGAAGACCCTCTGAGAATATGCTTACAACATAAAGGTCACTTTGAAAGTTGACTAAAGGCATGAATAAAAAGTAAAACATTTAGTTAAGCCCTTTGAGGAGATGAGGTTGCCATTACCCTTTACTGTTTGAGCAAGTTCTTCAACTGCTTTTCAACACTATCGTGACACCCCATGGAGAATTTAATGGCACCTTCTGAGTATATATAGAATCAAAGCCAAAATTCAGCTTACTAACTTAACTTTCAGAAAGTTAGTACGGCAGTCGGAGATTAAGAACCATTATATACTTGGCAAACTGACCTATTTCCAAATGATGCTGTCACAGGATGATATGCGCAGTGGGCGTATTTTAGCCAACAAAAGCCAGCAAGTGCCAAGAGCTGCTGAATTTCCTGTTAAGAATTAAGAGCCCCTACACACACATTTTCTGCCACAATATACGGCCCATCTTTTTGTCAGCACAAGTCTTCCTTGAAAAATGAGGGTTGAAAAAAATCACCTGGCATCATTTCTCATGAAAGGTAAGGAAATTAAAGGAAATGAAAGAAGCTACAAAGTAAGAAGAGCTGATCTGAGGGTCCTATAGGCTAACACGCTTCTGAAGTAAAGTGCAACTCCAGTTTTATACTTGGTGCGTGAGTACCATGTAAAACAGGAGTGTGAAAATGTAAAAGTATGCGAGACAAATGACATTTTATCTTTAGACATAATCATCCCTCATGGGTGTCATCCCTACTTACCGATTAATCACCAGAGCATGAATATCTTAAGACAAGGCTAAAAATGGGGTGTAATTTTTCACTAAATATGCTTGAAACAGCCAGTACATTTCACAAAGTAAAGAAGAGGTTTGTGATCTATTTGCTAGTTGCTTCACAAGTGCAGCCTCACAGAAATCTCCGATATTGACTGCAGTGTACAGTTATGGCTTGTGCCAGCCATCAGTAGAAACCTTGAGGTTTAGTAACGTGACTGCAAGTAAGTGCGTTGCCAAGACTTACTGAGTTACCACTTTGTGGCTGAGATAACAGCAACTGAGTAAATATGATGTTCTAGTCATTGCAAACACAAAATAAACTGTATTAGCATAAACCCACTTAGTGAAACATAACTTGCTAAGCCCTGAAACATGGCACTTGCGATTTTATGAGCATACCATGTCTTAGCTAGTTTAGATAATATTAGACTTGTAAACAAATTAAAATCAATATTTCCAATCGGCCAGCAAAAGCAATGGGCATAGGGAGACAATTACCATCTCTGGAGCTCAAAATCCATCCACCATATAGATGCATAGTTCCTGGTTTATGAAAGTACCTGAAAGTAAACTTACTGATCTGTTTGTCAGCTGCTAACATATGTGAGCTGTTCTCTCTTCTCAGTGTTGTAAGTGAAGTTATATAAACAGCATTCTATCCAGTCACCCATTTAACTGTACTGCTTTGTCTCAGGGTAAAAGTTAAGCTGGCTGGGTCTATCACGTTGCTAGTTAATTTTTAAATTTTTCTGTTGGCTGAATGATCAAAAAAAAAAAACCCCAAGAGCTCAATTTTGCTTACTTAGATATCTACAGAGAAAATTACTACATTCACATCTCAACCTTGTTATTTGCTTAATGAGAAAAAAGACACAGTACCTGGATATAGGCTATGAAAGAAAAAGGAAGTTGAAGGTGGTATATAGTTGTTAGTGGGAAAAAGATAAAAATTTCATCACAAAATGGAGTTTTCATTTCTTCTGTGTTCACAGCTTATTTGCTTTTGTGCACAATAATGCTACTAGACCTGTTACTTAGATTACACCATTGCTCATGAGTTTTAACACCTAAAATCAAATGCCAACAGAAAAATGTCGGTAGCAGGTGGCATCCAAAGAATTCTCAGATCACATATTTAAAGGAAACTTGAAATAAAAAGGACAATCTTTTTCAACAGGAAAATCCAAAACTCTCTCTTTATATCATGTGAAACAAGTACAATCAAGAATCAAAAGAAGTTGCTACTGGGATTCTAACATAATTATACAGATATTTTTAATTTATGTTTTAAATATAAAATGGTTAAATGCTGAATATAAAAAATGGCATCTAATTATTAACATCTGCATACATGTGGTTTTCATCACTAATCTTTGAAAACAATGACATTTTAACTGAATATGCTTCTAAGATCAAAATAGAAGCCATGAATGAGCCATGGAAAGATTTATGATCTTATTTTTTCCCCCTATTAATGTGTAGAGTCTGATTTTGCTTACACTGTTAACTATACAGGCTTCAAATATTTACTGCAGACAAAATAAAAATCAGCCCATTAGCCAGTAAGACACTGTTACACCTCAGCAAGGAACAATCGTTAACAATAGTTAAAACAAAGAGCAACAGTTGAGGCAAATGATGAATTGGAGAACCTTTTATGTCAATTTTGATTGCACAAGGAAAGTTGCCAGAGCAGTTTAATACGTCCACAGTTGTAATTTTTTTAATTATAGATACATAACAACAGCCCCTGCAACCCCCCAAACTGAATATGGGTCAAATATTCTCAAAACTGCACTTCAGTCCTTGAAACTTTGCTGTCCTCATGATGCCCAGCACTGTCCCTGTGAGAACTGCATGAGGGTCCCTAATCTACATTGCTCAGCAAACAGAAATATAAAATTGGCGATTAAAAAAAAATTACAGAACATTATCAAGAAATCTAGATGCAGCTACACAATGGACTGTGGGGAAGGGATGGTCTAAGGAGAGGAGATAGCTGTTTCCCTACACCATGTCTGTAGTACAGAGTACTACTGGAAGAAGGGTGTTGCAGCCTACTTAGATCTATGAATAAATTTATCTTGAGAACACATATTACAGCATAAATATCAGGACACTTCTGAGACACACAATTTTTGTAACCACTCTCCCATCTGTGATCCTTTTCGCTTAAGTTCTGTAAATGAAGAACAACCTACAAAAGCCATTGCTGGATCATTTAGTTTCATCTAGAAATTTACATCTCAGTTAATTGGAATCCCAAAATCTTCACTTGTGAATACTTGCATTCAGTAATTGAGTTCAGGTAGCTACCATATAAAAAAATTGTCAGAAATGCTTCTAAATTATTAAAATATATTTTTTACATAAAGGGGAATGCAAAAACTAACTTTCCAAACTAGAGGTTGTGCTGTCTGTTGTACTACCTACTGCTTCTAGAAAGACAGCATCAAGGTTGTTGTCAGACACTTGGAAATAACTTCGCATCTAAAGTTTTGCTGTGGACTTGTAACATGGAAATTTTTACTGAAAAGAAATATTTCAATTCACTGAATGATTACAGACATTATTTCCTAAACAAATGCTTAGTATTTGTACACAGAATTTTGAATTAAAATGGAGAATTCCCAGTATGAGGTTTATGTTTTTCCAGTTACACTGTTGAAGAAAGTACTAGTATCTGAATTTGAATTACCAGGGTTGTAGACTTTTGTAAACCAGTCCAGATCAAAACAGGTTTGAATTCTGGACATTTCTTTCAAAATGTAACAACCTGCATCCAAAAACATCACCAAGTATCTATTTCAATCTATAAAACCTTACTGTACATACTTAAAATTAGTACTTCTCAAAGGCTTGTAATGCTTGCTCTTTTAGAACTCATGTTACTTAACAGCTCTTAGAAATGAATAACAAATGCAGGACAATATCAAACAGTCTTTGTGCTTTCCTAAAATGTCTAAATCCCATTTAGCTACCTTCTTGTCAGCAAAATTCCTTAATATAAATGTACAGGTTTGCATATTTCCCCTGAATACCAAGCTACTGCATGGATTATGAAAGAAGGGTGTAGCTGATAACACTTTGCGAAACACGCTACAGGAAGAAAAAAAAAAAAAAAAAAGCCCAACATAGCTACAGTATACTTACTATTTATATGTTTCTGAACGAATGTATTCAAAAACATGAGATACTCCCAGCTGGAACTGGTCAGCAATAGGGGTAACCCAAGGATTGTTCTCTGCTTTGAAGACTTGCTTTTGACCAGTCAAATCCAAATTACCTGAAAGGGATTAAACAAAACAGCATATGAATAAAATTCAAAATATGAAAAGTTTGAAAGAAATATCTTGCTGTATGAAACTCTTCATTTGTTTCAGAGAGTATAACCATAATAAAAGCAAATATTTCAGTCTTAGGGGAGAGGAACAGGAGGACACAGTAGTTCCCACCATGACGGATACAGTTCCACCCTGTTCATTTCAGTGCTACTACATATGGCACAGCAGGATTGAACTCGGCCCACCGCATATAATATTTATTCATCAAATTAGTTTTAAGCAGGGCTTAATAGTGCATAGTTCTTGGGCGCTCTCCAGTATGGCTTGCAGGAATGAAAGGAGAATGATGCTGTGGTAGGAGTTTGCTCTGATGAAGCGTAGCAACCCTAAAGCATTTCTTGATCACTGCTCCAAGCATAATGTCAACAAGCAATGCCCAACAGGCTTTTTGCCTTCCCAGTGCCCAATGTCTTGTTTGTACCAAGATCCTACCACTGATCTGTGGTTATAGTTCCCTATACTAAGAAAAACAAACAAAACCCATCACTCTTGCAACATGCCAGTTTTACCTATTCTGTTGACAGGAAGACTTAAAAGACCTGTTAGGGGTTTGCTTGGGTTTTTTTGTTTTGTTTTGTTGTTCATTTTATAAATGTTTACCACCCAAAACCAAAACAGTACATGCTCTACTGAAATTCCTCATGACTACAGGCTGAATACATACATACTACATACAACAGGCTGAATTCCAGGACTGTCTAGCCACTGAAATATTTTCTTGTGTTCTTTAAATTAAAGTAAGAAATCTGTGTTACATTTATTTTTGTTAATTTTACGATGAAGAGAGGCCTACACTTCCCCCAGAAAGCTAAAGTAACAAATAAAAAAAAATAAAATAATCTTTAACTATAGCAAACAAAACAAAGAAAAATTACAAGGTTTTGAAGACTGACTGAGCCAAGCTGTCAGAGAAATCTGAAATCAACCTGATGTGCTAGCTTTTCAAAACTAAAAGCACTCGTGTAAGCTGCATGAGCACACATGCACACTACAGGAGCTGCTGCGAGCTGTGTGCTTGCTGGCCATTTCAGTTGCGTGTTCTACATTACAGCTAATCCCTGATGCGTTTCTCTCCGTAAAAAAGGGTTAACACAATTAAAGACAGACCATTATACCGTGTGAAAAGATGTCATGCATCTCATATTGGCCTACCAACAAGTTACCATTACCTTAGCAAGCTCATCTGTCAGCTGTCTGAGGCCTGTTCTTTTGAAATAACAACAGGCAGGGAGCGTTTCACCCCTGTCAGTCAGGCGGCAATAGCCCTTGCTGCCTCACGCTTCAGTGCGCCTCGTTAGGAGCCTCGCACCCATCTCCTTTATTAAGGGACTCTGCAGCCCTGTTCTAACAAGAATCAGGAAGCAGGATTAAGTACTGTGACAAAGAGGACCTAATAAGCTAGAAACTGGTGTGTCTAAATCTATGCTGGCTCAAGGCACAGGCTCACGCTGCTCGCTATTCAGTTTTCAGGCACAGGCCACCAGGGAAGCAAGCCAGCACTGTGATTAGCCGTAACCCTCTGACCAGTGCTGCTATGAAGATCATGTGTCACTCAGGGGCTTGCTTTGCAATTGCAAATTGGATTTTCCATTTTATTACCTGCAAAAAAACCACATACATTGCTCTCCAAAACTACCAACGCTGTAAGCAGTCCCTTGTAATTACAGCTCTGCAAGTACTGCATCAAGGTAAAATGATCAATCTGTGTACAACTAATAAAAATAGTTAAATTTGGGGAGGCAAGCTTGGCCCAATCATGGGTCAAATTCAATGTTGCTTAGAGGAATAAGTCACACATTCTCAAAATCTCAGTAGCCAGGGTCTCAGCTGAATCCTCTCATGCCGAGCTGTGTCAGAAATTTATCGCCCAGGGAAAACTGCCGTATGTTTCCATCCCCGCAGCGCACTGCCCACTTCCATTCCAAATACCACATGGCCCATTTCAAGGTAATTGTAATAAATACTATTCTATAAAGCCAAAGAAGCCTTACAGCAAAAAGAGGACTGCTCAATCAAAATGAACTGTAGGTCCCCATGCCAAAGTAATCACGTAATTTTCCTCTGTCTTCTGTTTCTCCCCAAAACACTCTGGGGGCAGGTACAGATATTACTTTTTACCTTCAGAGGTAAGAGGCAGGCAGAGGCCCTAAAGGCAAAATTATCCTAATTACAGAGGAAATTGGGGCACCTGGAAGTCCACCACCCGCCCTGAAATCCACCCCCTCCCTGCCCAGGACGTCCCTCTGGGAGCCCTGCCGGCAGCAGCTGGCCTGGCAGCCCATACCACCGGCCACCTACAGCTGGAGCAAGAGGTCAGCTGCCACCCCACAGCCCAGGGTTTTTAATTGAAGAATTTAGTCAAGTGTTGTAGTGCAAAAAGGAACAACCCATCTGCCCTCATAGCAAGCACCAGGCAGACAGTGGGTCCTCCTCTGCAGAAGAGTAAAGGAGGACTGCCTCACAGAAAGCAGGAAGGACAGGGCACCTGACGCTTTAAACTCCTCCCTGTTTGGTACCAAAATTTCCATCTGGAAATGAAGGACAGAAATGGGCAGAAAGCTAGGCAGGGTAAGAAGTCTCAGAGAGCCTACCCCACCTCATCAGCACTAGGGAAGAAACAGAGTCTGACACTTCTGCCATAAGGCAAGCCACTTGAGAACAAAGAAATCACATAATTAAAACTGAGACAGGAGGGAAATGTGTCACTCCTGCATCACCATACATTGCTTGGGGCCGTATCCTGTGTCCTTTCTGTGCTTACAGCTAAACCATCCGTGAATCAAGGGCTTACCTAATTCTGCTCCGGCTGCAGGACATCCAGGAGTCCCAAGCACGAGGTCAGTCTCAGTGAGACCTCAGGAACAGTATGTGGTGGGGTAACCAAACACATGGGAGCCCTGCATGAACCCTTCTGCCCCAGTGCACCGAGATGAACCCAGCAGCATGGAAGAGATGATCAAACCTGCCTGAAGCAATGGCTCTGGTACCAGGCTCACCGCAGGAGTGCTGTGCAGCTGGACACCTTACAGATGTGTCCCTGTCCCCTCCCACCCCCAACAGTCTCCTTGCCTAGACCTTTTTTTACAGCAGCGCTGTGCTAAGAAATGCTGTTATTCCATCCCTGCAGCACTAGAGCCATGGACCAGGGAAAAAGCCATGGCAGATGCGCCTTCATGCATATTGTCTAACAGTAGCGTCAGCAGAACACTATCCCCAGGCCTTTAGGAAATTTATATACTGTTCTGCTACACAGATCACATCAAATCCCTCGGATATTTTTAGTAAGCAAAATACAAAATTGCCTCTAGTAAAAATCCAGTACTGAAGATTCAATCACAAAATGCATTAGGGTTGGAGATTGCATTGGTTATTGCTGGTTAGTTCTTTCCATGCACATCAGCCTATTAAAAAATATTTGTTTATCATCTCTAAAATTTGGCATAACTAGTAGACTAAAATTGTGTTTCTTCATAACGGACTTAAAGTTCTTGCTATTTTGCCATACTGAAAGCGTCAACTCCACTGAAATGCATTAGTCACATGCTTCTGGTAAGAGAGGAGAAGGCTATCTTTAAGACTAGTCAGCACAGCCCCTTTCCTAGATCACAGAAATGCTTTTCAAATTATTTTTGAGTGCTTCTAAAATTATTCTTATAAATAAATAATGAAAATTATATATCCCAGAACCCAGGTCTAACATGCTTAAAGAACCTTCTAATTTCTAAGCCTGAAGGATACTTTTTTTTAAGCTTTCTATCTTGAACAGACATAGATCTCCATGTAGGAAGAATGCAAAGTGGACATATGCTGCTACAATGAGCAGACACTGAAAAGAGAACAGAGTCTGGAAAAGAGAAGAACAAGAGATAAAGGTCTAACAGCTGACTGCTGTGGACGACCTGCACAGAATGACCAAAAGCCTTCTAAAAGGAGCCAGCTGTGTGATTTAGAAATAGCTGATCTTGGCTTTTTTTTTTCCTGCCTCAGCACTCATTGCATCTAAAGATGATCCTGAACCATTAAGTTTGATTGGATCAGTGTGACTGAAGTTCCGTGTTTAACCCACCTTAAAAACAAAATGTTCCTATGCCTAACTAGTAAGCTATGCAGACCTGAAAACTGTCTGCTACCCAAATCTCTTGTTAGCTGCCACCTGGAAGCTACAGTAAATAGATCTACACCAAAACAAACCCTTGAAAATCCAAGGGCAAAATCAAAGTATGCATACTTTTAATTTTAATGTATTCTAACTTATGCCATCCATTTATCACTGCTTAAATTCAGAGCTCCCACAGCCATGGATGGACAGAAGGGACATCTTGTATGACAGTGGGCACACCTCATCCTGAGTGATGTTAAAGGGAAAAGGCAGCTACAGTGTCCCTGCACCTCCCTCAATAAATCTATCCTACATTTGCTCTAAAACATGATAGTTAATGTTTTTTGTTATTTTCCTTCAGTGCTGTTGAAGTTAAGTGGTTTGTGTGAACATTTGTATTTTGCTCAACTGCCTGCAAAGGTCAGAAAAGAGCTCATAAAAGCAAATAAAATGCTGCCTCCCACAGTCATGTTTGCAGAAATAAGTGTCAGAGCCAGTGATAATGCTACCTATCGCTTTGACTAAGGGTGTCTCCAGACTTCCCAGGCTCCTCCTGTCCATTAGATCTAGCCCGCAAGCACGTCTTATAGGCAACTATAAGCCCCTCACCCTTTTGTGATGTAGGATACATGCAGCGTATAATATTTACCTAATGTACTTATACTTACGGTATAGTAAGGCATGACTAGTGTACATAGGCATTACTTCACTACAAACAAAAGAAAACAGAACGAACACAAATCTGACTTGTCCTTTCCACTCAAATGCCCCTTGGCAACACTTTAAATACTTTCAAAAATTAAAAGGTGAAATAAAGTAATTAAACAACTCTGACATTTGAGA